CCCAGAGACGGGGGGGGCCAGCTCCAGCATCCTCCCCAGAAATGGTGGGGGGGGCACATCCAGCATCACCCCAAAAATGAGGGGGGGACACACATCCAGCATCACCCCAAAAACTGGGGGGGGACACACCCAGCATCACCCCAAAAATGGGGAGGGACCCACATCAACTGGGACCCCAGGGATAATGGGGTACCACATCCAGCATCACCCCCAGAGACTGGGGGGGCCAGATCCAGCATCTTCCCCAGAAATGGTGGGGGGGGCACATCCAGCATCACCCCAAAAATGAGGGGGGGACACACATCCAGCATCACCCCAGGGATAATGGGGTACCACATCCAGCATCATCCCAAAAATGGGGGGGGACACATTCAGCATCACCTCAGAAATGGGGGGGGACATCCAGCATCACCCCAGAAATGGGGGGGACCCACATCAACCATCAACCCCAGGGATAATGGGGTACCACATCCAGCATCATCCCAAAAATGGGGGGGGACACATTCAGCATCACCTCAGAAATGGGGGGGGACATCCAGCATCACCCCAGAAATGGGGGGGACCCACATCAACCATCAACCCCAGGGATAATGGGGTACCACATCCAGCATCATCCCAAAAATGGGGGGGGACACATTCAGCATCACCTCAGAAATGGGGGGGGACATCCAGCATCACCCCAGAAATGGGGGGGACCCACATCAACCATCAACCCCAGGGATAATGGGGTACCACATCCAGCATCATCCCAAAAATGGGGGGGGACACATTCAGCATCACCTCAGAAATGGGGGGGGACATCCAGCATCACCCCAGAAATGGGGGGGACCCACATCAACCATCAACCCCAGGGATAATGGGGTACCACATCCAGCATCATCCCAAAAATGGGGGGGGACACATTCAGCATCACCTCAGAAATGGGGGGGGACATCCAGCATCACCCCAGAAATGGGGGGGACCCACATCAACCATCAACCCCAGGGATAATGGGGTACCACATCCAGCATCATCCCAAAAATGGGGGGGGACACATTCAGCATCACCTCAGAAATGGGGGGGGACATCCAGCATCACCCCAGAAATGGGGGGGACCCACATCAACCATCAACCCCAGGGATAATGGGGTACCACATCCAGCATCATCCCAAAAATGGGGGGGGACACATTCAGCATCACCTCAGAAATGGGGGGGGACATCCAGCATCACCCCAGAAATGGGGGGGACCCACATCAACCATCAACCCCAGGGATAATGGGGTACCACATCCAGCATCATCCCAAAAATGGGGGGGGACACATTCAGCATCACCTCAGAAATGGGGGGGGACATCCAGCATCACCCCAGAAATGGGGGGGACCCACATCAACCATCAACCCCAGGGATAATGGGGTACCACATCCAGCATCATCCCAAAAATGGGGGGGGACACATTCAGCATCACCTCAGAAATGGGGGGGGACATCCAGCATCACCCCAGAAATGGGGGGGACCCACATCAACCATCAACCCCAGGGATAATGGGGTACCACATCCAGCATCATCCCAAAAATGGGGGGGGACACATTCAGCATCACCTCAGAAATGGGGGGGGACATCCAGCATCACCCCAGAAATGGGGGGGACCCACATCAACCATCAACCCCAGGGATAATGGGGTACCACATCCAGCATCATCCCAAAAATGGGGGGGGACACATTCAGCATCACCTCAGAAATGGGGGGGGACATCCAGCATCACCCCAGAAATGGGGGGGACCCACATCAACCATCAACCCCAGGGATAATGGGGTACCACATCCAGCATCATCCCAAAAATGGGGGGGGACACATTCAGCATCACCTCAGAAATGGGGGGGGACATCCAGCATCACCCCAGAAATGGGGGGGACCCACATCAACCATCAACCCCAGGGATAATGGGGTACCACATCCAGCATCATCCCAAAAATGGGGGGGGACACATTCAGCATCACCTCAGAAATGGGGGGGGACATCCAGCATCACCCCAGAAATGGGGGGGACCCACATCAACCATCAACCCCAGGGATAATGGGGTACCACATCCAGCATCATCCCAAAAATGGGGGGGGACACATTCAGCATCACCTCAGAAATGGGGGGGGACATCCAGCATCACCCCAGAAATGGGGGGGACCCACATCAACCATCAACCCCAGGGATAATGGGGTACCACATCCAGCATCATCCCAAAAATGGGGGGGGACACATTCAGCATCACCTCAGAAATGGGGGGGGACATCCAGCATCACCCCAGAAATGGGGGGGACCCACATCAACCATCAACCCCAGGGATAATGGGGTACCACATCCAGCATCATCCCAAAAATGGGGGGGGACACATTCAGCATCACCTCAGAAATGGGGGGGGACATCCAGCATCACCCCAGAAATGGGGGGGACCCACATCAACCATCAACCCCAGGGATAATGGGGTACCACATCCAGCATCATCCCAAAAATGGGGGGGGACACATTCAGCATCACCTCAGAAATGGGGGGGGACATCCAGCATCACCCCAGAAATGGGGGGGACCCACATCAACCATCAACCCCAGGGATAATGGGGTACCACATCCAGCATCATCCCAAAAATGGGGGGGGACACATTCAGCATCACCTCAGAAATGGGGGGGGACATCCAGCATCACCCCAGAAATGGGGGGGACCCACATCAACCATCAACCCCAGGGATAATGGGGTACCACATCCAGCATCATCCCAAAAATGGGGGGGGACACATTCAGCATCACCTCAGAAATGGGGGGGGACATCCAGCATCACCCCAGAAATGGGGGGGACCCACATCAACCATCAACCCCAGGGATAATGGGGTACCACATCCAGCATCATCCCAAAAATGGGGGGGGACACATTCAGCATCACCTCAGAAATGGGGGGGGACATCCAGCATCACCCCAGAAATGGGGGGGACCCACATCAACCATCAACCCCAGGGATAATGGGGTACCACATCCAGCATCATCCCAAAAATGGGGGGGGACACATTCAGCATCACCTCAGAAATGGGGGGGGACATCCAGCATCACCCCAGAAATGGGGGGGACCCACATCAACCATCAACCCCAGGGATAATGGGGTACCACATCCAGCATCATCCCAAAAATGGGGGGGGACACATTCAGCATCACCTCAGAAATGGGGGGGGACATCCAGCATCACCCCAGAAATGGGGGGGACCCACATCAACCATCAACCCCAGGGATAATGGGGTACCACATCCAGCATCATCCCAAAAATGGGGGGGGACACATTCAGCATCACCTCAGAAATGGGGGGGGACATCCAGCATCACCCCAGAAATGGGGGGGACCCACATCAACCATCAACCCCAGGGATAATGGGGTACCACATCCAGCATCATCCCAAAAATGGGGGGGGACACATTCAGCATCACCTCAGAAATGGGGGGGGACATCCAGCATCACCCCAGAAATGGGGGGGACCCACATCAACCATCAACCCCAGGGATAATGGGGTACCACATCCAGCATCATCCCAAAAATGGGGGGGGACACATTCAGCATCACCTCAGAAATGGGGGGGGACATCCAGCATCACCCCAGAAATGGGGGGGACCCACATCAACCATCAACCCCAGGGATAATGGGGTACCACATCCAGCATCATCCCAAAAATGGGGGGGGACACATTCAGCATCACCTCAGAAATGGGGGGGGACATCCAGCATCACCCCAGAAATGGGGGGGACCCACATCAACCATCAACCCCAGGGATAATGGGGTACCACATCCAGCATCATCCCAAAAATGGGGGGGGACACATTCAGCATCACCTCAGAAATGGGGGGGGACATCCAGCATCACCCCAGAAATGGGGGGGACCCACATCAACCATCAACCCCAGGGATAATGGGGTACCACATCAGCATCTCCCCCAGAGATGGGGGGGAGCACACCCCAGCATCTCCCCAGGGATAATGGGGTACCCCAGAGATGAGGGGGGGCACACCCCAGCATCACCCCAGAAATGGGGGGGCACATTCAGCATCACCCCAGGGATGGGGGGGGACCCACATCAACCGGGACCCCAGGGATAATGGGGTACCACATCAGCATCTCCCCCAGAGATGGGGGGGAGCACACCCCAGCATCTCCCCAGGGATAATGGGGTACCCCAGAGATGAGGGGGGGCACACCCCAGCATCACCCCAGAAATGGGGGGGCACATTCAGCATCACCCCAGGGATGGGGGGGGACCCACATCAACCGGGACCCCAGGGATAATGGGGTACCACATCAGCATCTCCCCCAGAGATGGGGGGGAGCACACCCCAGCATCTCCCCAGGGATAATGGGGTACCCCAGAGATGAGGGGGGGCACACCCCAGCATCACCCCAGAAATGGGGGGGCACATTCAGCATCACCCCAGGGATGGGGGGGGACCCACATCAACCGGGACCCCAGGGATAATGGGGTACCACATCAGCATCTCCCCCAGAGATGGGGGGGAGCACACCCCAGCATCTCCCCAGGGATAATGGGGTACCCCAGAGATGAGGGGGGGCACACCCCAGCATCACCCCAGAAATGGGGGGGCACATTCAGCATCACCCCAGGGATGGGGGGGGACCCACATCAACCGGGACCCCAGGGATAAGGTCCCCATGGAGGTGGGACCCCCCATGGAGGTCAACAAGGTGGGACCCCATGGAGATCAAGGAGGTGGAACCCACATGGAGGTGGGACTCCATGGAGGTCAAGGAGGTGGGACCCCATAGAGGGCAGGGAGGTGGGACCCCATAGAGGGCAAGGAGGTGTGACTTCATGGAGGTCAAGGAGGGGGGACCCCATGGAGAGCAAGGGAGGTGGGACCCTGTGGAGGTCAAGGAGGTGGGACCCCATGGAGGTCAAGGAGGTGGGACCACCCCCCTCCCTGATGACCCTCCCAACACAAAATGAGGTGTCCAAGTAGGGGGTGGCCAGTGCTTAAGGGGGGTCACTACCCCCACCCTGTCCCCAAGCAGCCACCAAGCCAGGATCAATACGGCATCAGATGAGTTGGGGGGTCCATCACCTCTTGGCCACCCCACAGCAAGTGGGGCAAGGACCTTCCCCCCACCAGCACTTACCACCTTCTGGAACTGCTTCTCCTTGCGCACCTCCACCATGACCAGCCCCTCCTTGACCAGCCCCAGCCCCACGTCGCTCTTGGAGTCGGCGAACTGGAGGGTGACGTGGGGACAACCGGGTCCCAGATGCTCCACGTTGAGCAGGCACTGGGTGTTCTGGATGTCCCTCACCACGCTGTCCACCGCGTCCGCCCGCGCCTCCTCCTGCAGCAACCATGGGTGGTGGGCACCCATCCCTTGATGTCCCACCGGGGAGCACCCCACCCTGACACCCCCAAACTTACGTCCTGGGGCACCTGGATGAAGGCAAACTTGTACTCGGTGGCTTGTGCCGGCAGGACGCGGGTGCTGAAGGCCGGGGGCAGAGCGGCCAAGCGGGTGGAAGGCAGGGTCTCCTTCTGCAGGGACAGAGGGTGACGGGGTTGGGAGGGCACCCAAGGGTGGTGGACACCCCGTGATGGGCTCCCAAGGACCAGGGTTGGAAAGGAACCCATGGGTGGTGGACACCAAGTTATGGGCTCTTGAGTATGGAGTTTGGGAGTGCACCCAAGGGTGATGGGTGCTACGTGATGGGCTCCTTGGTGTCAGGGTTTGGAGGGCACCCAAGGGTGGTGGACACCCCGTGATGGGCTCCCAAGGACCAGGGTTGGGAAGGAACCCATGGGTGGTGGACAACCCGTGATGGGCTCCCAAGGACCAGGGTTGGGAAGGAACCCATGGGTGGTGGACACCCCGTGATGGGCTCCCAAGGACCAGGGTTGGAAAGGAACCCAAGGGTGGTGGACACCATGTGATGGGCTCTTGGGTATGGAGTCTGGAAGGGCACCCAAGGGTGGTGGACACCATGTGATGGGCTCTTGGGTATGGAGTTTGGGAGTGCACCCAAGGGTGGTGGGCGCTACGCAATGGGCTCCTTGGTGTCAGGGTTGGGAAGGCACCCAAGGGTGGTGGACACCATGTGATGAGTTCTTGGGTATGGCCTATGCGGTTTGGAGGGCACCCAAGGGTGGTGACGCACCATCATGGGCTTCCAGCTGTTGGGAGGGCACCCAAGGGTGCTGGATGACCTGTGATGGGCTCCCAAGGACCAGGGTTGGGAAGGAACCCATGGGTGGTGGACACCATGTGATGGGCTCTTGGGTATGGGGTTTGGGAGGGCACCCAAGGGTGGTGGGCATCCCATCATGGGCTTCACGGGGTTGGGAGGGCACCCAAGGGCGAGCACTCACGTTGCCGTAGTCAATGTAGAAGATATGAACTTTGGCAGGTGACTCCACCTTCTCCACCCGGGCCCGGTACCTGGAGGTCAGGATGATGGGGGGTGGTCACCTCCAAAACACGCCTCAGCGTGGGGCAGAGACACCCCACGACCCCACAACGGGGGGGGTAGGACCCACCATCCCCTCTCACCATTCTCCATCGACGAACTTGGCGATGCAGAAGTCTCCGCGGCGCGGGGCGTAGGAGCCCTCCACGGGCGGGTGGTTGCCCACCTCGGTGCGCATGTTCTCCATCAGCTTCTCCAGCTGGGCACCTGTGGGAGGGGGGGGGGGGCAG